CGGAGCACCAAAGTTTTTATAATCTATAAAGTATTACTACCCAGGAATAGCTACTGAAGAATCAAGAAAAGGTAGTGGATTAACTTGAAAGACAATTATCCTATATTATCCTATATAGTGTTTCTTGATGACACTAATTTCTTGAGATAGAATTAAAGGGAAAAATGATACACACGTAAATAAATTTTGGAATATTATATGCTTTAGCTTCCCCTTGGATATTTACAAAAATATTTGCATATTAACAGTCACAGAATAAAGAAACCTTTTTAACTACATTTAAACTAGTGCTAGAGTTCAAATATATTTCCTCCAAATTCATGTTGAAATTTAATCCTCAAAGTGATGATGAGATAGGTAGGGCCTTTGGATGCAAGTCATGATGGCTCTACAGTCACGTAATAAGAGTAATGTCCTAATAAATGAAGCTTCAGAGAGCTTCCTGGCTCTTCCATGCCTTTTGCCATTTGAGAACATGGCATTTGTCCATTTTTCACCTTTGCCATTCTTAACATGTGATTATGTCATGCAAAATGACATCTATGAAACAGGCCCTCATAATCTTGAACTTCCCAACTCCTAGAACTCTCAGAAATAAATGTCTGTAATTCATAAATTACCCAGTCTGTGGTATTTATTATAAGACCAGGAACAGACTAAAATAACAAATGCTTTCCCCCAACCCTGGCTGCTTTCAAAATGTATAAGACGTGTCCATACAGCTTCTTATGGCAATTATGATACAGATATTTTTCAGAAAGTGGCATGCATATATGTGAATGTTTCTTAGAGGAGTTGAAAAAAAAAAACACTTGCTTGGCAATGTTTATTCCTCATAGAATCAGTGCTGTTCACTTTGGAAAATATCTTAGTGTCCTGCTTGTTGCCTTTTTCATTGTTTTTTTGTCATTGCAATCAGCTATAGCCGTGTAACTTTTGCATCTGGTGGTCAGCGGCTTTGGAAGCCCTTGAATCTGAAATCACATCCCAGTTGTATTCCTGATTAGTTGTGTAAAATGATTTTTAAACTTATTATTTTCAGCTTACTCATTTATTAAGTACAGATATTAATATTGAAACTGGAGTAGATTAAATGACATACTAAATGGAAATAAGTTTGTATAGTAATTGTTACATAGGAAAACACTCAATAAATCAATGCTGTTATTATTACCATTAATATTTCCTAAATGTGAAGAGTACCTTCAGAGGAAACATACTAGAAAGAAAAAACATGAGTTTTACAGAAGTTTTTCAGCAAAAGTTGATTGGTTTTACAGACACACACACATACGTACACATACATATATATAAATATGTATATTATATTTTTACACACACAGATTTATTTCTACTTAAAATGTAAAAAGTAACTTACTCATGTGTGCCCAATTTTCTGATACACTATAAAATGGAAATATCTTGGCAGACACTATCAATAGGCTATGCAAAAGTAAACTTCTCCTGCTTAGTTTTTTATTTGGAAAGTAACGTATCCATGTTTCTTGGTGTGGCCACGTGAATTTTGTGACATTGGGGTGGATATCATAAGATAGGTTCCCAAGAAAACCTTTAAAAAAGCACAGACTTGGCCTGCATGACTTTGGCCTTTTGCCCTTTGCCCTTTGCTTCAGCCTTTCCTATTTTTCTTGCCTGCAACATGGGCAATCATGTCTCAGGGTGCTACAGGCATCATGCTATCTTATAGGATGTCTCTTTCTAAGGAAACGATATTAATGTCCCTGCATGTGTGCAACAAACCTTCAGTGCCACTGTGTGGCTGCTCTTCTGATCCTGCCTGGCTTGTACTCTTTCTTTTGTAGGAGTAAATAAACGCCTTGCATGTGAAGACTACTTTTAAATTGCACTATGTACTCCTTATAGCTAAACCTTATCTACCTGAAACCCATATTAATACATATGTCATATATTTAGTTTGGAGACCAGATTAAATGTAGAGTTCTATCAATTACACAATAAATATTTTTGAGTGACCAGTGTGGGCAATGTGATATTTAAGCTACTGATATAATGTGATAAACTGAAGATATGACTTGAAATGTTTATAACTTATATGACAATAAGTGGAGAGAGATGAAAATCTGGTAAACAGATAAGCACAGATTTTAATCTGTTCTATACATATGATAAGTATGGCAGAAAAGACTCTAAGCTAAGCAGTAGAGGAAGAGAAGGTGACTATAAAAAGGTTGGCTAGAAAATGTTATCTAACAAGTGATATTTGAATGCAGAGATACTTGAAATTGTAAGACACAATATTGCAAAAATTTGGGAAATTTTGTTTTTTAAGTTAATAGTGCAATTCATCTAATGTGTAAATAAAAGTGCTGGTTGCTGAAGGAGCAGTGAAAAATCAGATTAGTTTGAGTATGGGGAAAGAGAAGGAGACTGGAGAGAGGTTGAAGAACTAGGCATATGTTAGTTTATATAGAGTTTACATAACAAAGAAGAGATTTTCTGTGAATCAAGTTACATTGCTGCATAATAAACCACCCCAAACTTACTGGTATAACATAGTAAACTTGTATTATGTTCACAAGTGATTCTGTGATTCTGTGGGTCAGGAAATCTAGAAGGGCACAATGGGCATGCCCCTTTTCTGTACCTCAATGGTGAGGCCTCAGCTAGGAAGATTTACATGTCTGGATGCAACTCAAATAGCTGAGGGCTAGGACAGCTGGGACTGGAGTGTCCATTTCCAAAATTGCTTTTTTATGCTCATTTCTGGCACCTGGCCTTGTGTATTTGAAGCTAGGAATGAACTGGGATTGTCAACCAGAACTCCTATTCATGCTCTTTTCTCGTGGCTTGGGTTTCTCCCAGTCTGGCAATACTGGGGATTTCCTGAGATTGAGTATTCTGGAAAAAGTGAGCAGAAGTTACATTGCCGATTTAGGCCAGGTCTCAAAAGTTACATAGCATTGCATTTTTTTCTACTCTCTTGGTCAAAGAAGTTAAAAGTTCTCCCCGATTAAAAATCAGAGACCCCAGGTCCCCACATCTCAATAAAATGATGGTTGAACAGCTCAGGAGATATTTTATAACCATTAAATTATAGCAAGTGAAAAAAAGTGATTTTTGTGGCATTTAATTTGTCCCAAAATGTTAGCTTTTTATTCTCCTCCATGGACTGATATTCATAATCTTCCTGATTTTTCTCCATTAAACTCCATCTTTCAGTGACAATTCTGATACATTATTTTATACTAAATTGTAAACTAGAATTAATTTTTGAAGTACTGCCACTTGCAAGAGGATGTATATTTAATTCACAGAATTATAAATCTAGATAATAATGTATATTTTAGGATTTTCTATCAGAATTTTTAAAATTAAAAATGTTAATTTTAAATGTATTTAAAACATCATTTTTAAGCATTTATTTAGTTAAGACTACCAGTTCATGTAATTTCCTCTAAATAAAAATCACAGATATTATTTGTAGTATTTTAAGCAGCAAAAGATATGTAGTATTGTATTATGTCATGATTTCTTATGTTACAATAGGTTTTTTTAAAAAATTCAATAAAGTTAAAAAATATTTCTAAATACAGCTTATTTTAAAAATCAGTTCTATTGTATGTCACCTCTAATATCCATACAACACATTATTTTAATCTCCTTTCTTCTAAGCATTCCTGTTCCAGTTAATCTAACACAATGTTCTCAATGATATGACAAATTGCAATTCTGTTAAAAAATCTTCAAAGACTTTCCACTGAACTGAACAGAATTAGAATAGGTGATTATTTCAGTCAAGTGTTGGTACATAACAAAATACCCCAATCATCTATTCTTCCTCCTCTTAAAGTCAATGTATTATTAAAATGTTCAACTTCCATTTATGAAATACTTCACAAATGCCAAAAAACTGAAAAATAATTGATACAGCAACATAACCAGAAAGAAGATCATAAGAAATGCTGTAAGAGATAACGACATGCTAAAATTGTTTAACATCCCCATGTATATTTCTCTTTTTTAAACTATAAATATATGTATAGAATATTTACATACAGCGTATGGTAGTGTTTGTTTCTTCAAAACTAAATAAGATGTTATTTTTTTCTCTGTATTATTTCAACATATGCTTTATAATCTCACTATATTTTTGAAATCCATTCTGGCTGATGCTTGGGTATCTGTTTTCGTTTAATTTCTATATGGGATTTTATTATATAAATAACATAAAGCTATCAATTTTCATATCAGGAAATATTTGGCATTTTTTCTACTTATTGTAAATGTTAAAAACAAATCTGCAACAAATATTTATGGTCTGCTTGTTCATATAGTATAGGCATAGAGCAGGGAAATTTTACAGCTTTGGGCAATTTCTTCCTTATGTTGTCAAGTAGCTTTCCAAAGTCGTACTGTGAAATTATCTTCCCACTAAACAATTGTTAGAGTTCCTGTTTCCTAACAGCCTCATAAAAGAGGAAAATTTATCAATATTAAGTGGTAAAGTAAAAGTGATAAATGTTATTGTTTTACAAATTCAATTTTACTAAATAAAATATATTTTATATTTTCTTTAAAAGTGACATGTCTTGCATACTTCAAATTAATGCGATGTTAGAATACAATTTAAAATTTTTCTATATATTCACCAAATGTATCACTGCTATTTTTTGAATAGTCATTCATTTTTCTGGGTGAGATGATATTCATATGTAAAATATCAAAAGTCTTGCCTCTTATTTTTGAGTTTCCTCCTGTAGTCCAGTGACCAAGTTGTTCATCTCTGAGTCAATACCCCACTACCATAATGACTATAATTTATAATCAATTCTTATTGAGTATCTACTCAGTGCCAGCATATGAGTTGGCTGGATCTGTTACAGCAAATTATCACAAACTTTAAAGCTTAAAGCAACAGGAGTATATTCTCTTACAGTTCTGTAGGGCAAAAATCTGAAATCAAGGTATAGGTAGGCCCACTTTCCCTCTCAAGTTTCTATGGGTGGATCCTACTTTACCTCTTTCAGGTGCTGGTGGCTCAAGGCATTCTTTGTCTTGTAGCTGCATAACTGCAAGCTCTGCTTCCATCCTCAAATAGTCTTATTTACAGATTTAGGGTGTACTAGGAAAATCCAGTATGATGTCATCTCAAGATCCTTATTAATATCTTCCAAAAAAAAATAGGTCACTTCTACAGTTTCAGGGGCTTAGCAAGTGGAAAGACATGTGTATATTTATCATATTTGGGGAGACACATTGAATCTACTAGAGGCAAACATCTACATTTAGGGTATTAAAGACAAAAATCCTTGCCCTTGTAAAGATTACAGTCAGACAAAAGAAATAACATATAGAAAGCTGTTGAAAAGTTAAAGTAAGGAGAGATACATAGTAATCGTGGTAGATTACACTTTCAATTAATATAATAAAGTGACTTTGTTAAAATAGGATTGGAATAAACACATCAAAAGGCTGAGGGGAAAAAAAACACAATTTTTCTCTACATCCCAAATTGCTTCTGATTGAATATTTTTACTGGGATTTGTTTCTGGGAGAGACTAAAGGAGTGAAGAACTTTGGATAAATTCTGAAGGTAGAATAAGCAGCAAGACCCATTGAAAGGCTGGATGTGTAATGTATGAAAAAGATAAGAAACAGGATTGACTCTAAGATTTTTGGTCTGAGACAAATTGTGCTGTGTGAAAATGTGCATTTCAAAGTTGAAATGTTTATTAGCTTCTCAAGAAAAGATGTAAGAAGTTGGATGTAAGAGCTTGACATTTAGAAGGCAGGTAAGAGGTAGAGGTCTTATTACAAATTTGCAAGGTCTTAGCATAAGCATAATATTGTAAACTTTGGCTCTGTGAGAAGTCATCAAGCGAGTAGAGGTGGGCACAGAAGTGTTCCAAAGACTAAGAAATAGCATACAAAGACATGAGCAGGAAGCCAAGAGGAAATGTGTTCTGGGAGACAAAGGAAAAAATGTTTGTTTGTTTTAAAGAAAAAGAGATACTGATAGATAAATAAAATGAGAATAGAAAATTATCTTTTGTATTTTGCAACGTGAAAATAATTAGTGATTTAAAAGAAACATTTAAATTAAATGGCCTATACTGTTTTAGTGTTTTCATTGTAACTCATTTCTTGCTTTGTTACCCGGGCTGGTCTGGATTCCTGGCCTCACATTTGTTAATGGTTAATGCTTATTTAGATTTATTCTTACATCTATCAGGTTTACAGCTGCCACTTCCTTCTCCCACTTGCCTTTCTTATTGTTTTCTCTTTTTTCTTTCTTCGTTGTTCAATGAATCCGTGTGTTTTCTTAAAAGTTTTGGTAGCTGGAAAAATTTATATTAAAAAATTAAAACAAAACAAAACAAAAACAAAAAAAGAACTTTTGTTGACCTGAAAAGTCTCACTGCTGTGTAGAGGATTTTATGTTGAATTGTATCTTTTCCATTTGGAACCTTGTATGCCATTGCATTGTTGTATTAGTATTTCAGTGAACTAGCTTCTTTTAAAAATATTTACCACATTAGTGTTTTTTCAAGTTTGGGTTTATTTTTATTGATTCTATTCAGAAATTGTCAAATTCCTGAATCTGAGAAATTTTTAATGACATGTAAAATTTCCAGTTATTATTTCTAGATATTGCCCCAATACTATCTTAATTGCATCCAAATTGCCTAATATAATAATTTTTTGGCCAACTAGCTATATATTGATGTTTATTTCTCTGTTATATATATTTATTATATTAATTTTAATCATCCATATCTCACAAGTTTTTAAAATTCAATTACTTTGTTTTTATTTTTGGATATTCTTTACTAAATCTGCTCTTCATTTCTTTTTAAATGTGTTTACCAGTATGTTTATTGCATATTATTTTTATAATTTTTTTCAAATTACTCATCTATTTTTACACATCCTTTTGATTCTGCTGTTTTATATCTGCTGACTCTTATTGATGCTATATTCTTTTTATTTTTTTGAGAAAGAGTCTCACTTTGTTACCCAGGCTGGCATACAATTGGTGCGATATTGGCTCACTGCAACCTGTGCCTCCTGGGTTCAAGCAATTCTCCTGTCTCAGCCTTCCAAGTAGCTGGGATTACAGGTGCCCACCACCAGGCTCAATTAATTTTTTGTAGTTTTAGTAGAGACGAGGTTTTCCCATGTTAGCCAGGCTGGTCTTGAACTCCTGACCTCAGGTGATCCACCTGCCTTGGCCTCCAAAAGTGCTGGGATTATGGACGTGAGCCACCGCACTTGGTATGTATATTATTTTTCACTGTGCATTTTGTAGTTTTTGTTTGTGAATGAAGAAATGGCTATGTATATTCATTGCCACCAAGGCATTTATGATCCAATTGAAGGGTAAATACAAATACAATGAATTTTCTTTGTATAGCAATTACACAAATTAAACTGCATAAGCTTGCCAAGAAAAGCAAGAAGGAAGAAAGAAAAGAAAGAAGAAAGGAAGAAAAACAAATAGCAAAATAGAGCAATATTTAAATGTGGTTGTGATTCTGCCTACCATTGTGTTTAATGATACAGTGCCTGTTTGGTAAAGAAAAGAGAAGAATTAACTGAATGCCAATGAGAGGGATAAGTAATGAAAAACAAAGCAAAACAAAATAAAATTGTGAATGATAATTACTGTGAATAGCAAAATTATGTACAAAAGGCATTTTATTTGAAGAGTAATTTAGGAAATTTTTAGAAATATATTGATTATATTCAAGCTTCTATACTTAAATGCTACACAATAATAATTAAAGATGCCAGATTTAGTAAAGGGATTTTTATAACATTTTTTTTTCCTGTAGAGATACAAATGTATTCCTTAGTACAACAGACAACCTCACAGATTAATGACCCTGTCATATATCAATTTATATTTATTTATCTAATCGAGCAATCTTAATGTTATTTTGTCAAATTGCTTCTAAATTTCCCAGTTTCTCAGATTCATTTGTATCATTGAAGATATTTATTTCTTCTTTATTAATTCAAGTTAACATCTTTAAAATCTAATTATTTTAGGCTGGGCACGGTGGCTCACACTTGTAATCCCGGCACTTTGGGTGTCTGAGGCAGGTGGATCAAGAGGTCAGGAGTTCGAGACCAGCCTGTCCAATATGGTAAAACCCCATTTCTACAAAAAATAAATAAATAAACGGGGTGGTGGTGTCTGCCTATAGTCCCAGCTATGCAGAAGGCTGAGGCAAGAAAATCACTTGAACCCGGGAGCTGGAGGTTGCAGTGAGCTGAAATCTTGCCACTGCACTCCAGCCTGGACAAAAAAAAAAAAAAAAACTATTCATTTTATATATGCCTGAGAGCTATGATTTTAAGCTTCTAAAAATTATACTTTAATAGAAATCAGGGACTAGTTACCTTTAATCCACTGGAGGTACACATATTTAAAAGTCTGAAGTTAATGTCTAGAAGAAAGTTTCTGCTTAACATCAAAGGGTATGCAACATTTGCTGTTGCTCTCAAATACCAAGAAAGGAAAACACAACTGGGAATTTGTCCCTAGCGCTTTATTCTTTACTCAGGATTGATATATAGGTTTTGAATAAAAGATCAATAAATATTTGTCTTGTGAAATAGGAATAATCACTGATGTCTACATACTGTTTCCAGCTTTCTTCTGTTGTTTCCTCTTCAGATAAGCTAGAAAACCCCTTCAATGTGATTCTTCTTATGTAAAACCTCATATATTCTCAAAATTATTATGTATGCATTCATCTAACTGTACATCTACAGTACTGTAAAAAATGAGATTGTAATAAGTGGAAATGCATGTATAAGTACAGGCAAATTTTTAGGCAAATCAGATGTTTTAGAGGTAATGATCTCCTGATTGTTTTCTCTTGAGTTCTTTTGTACAATAGGTGCAGTGGTCCTTGCAATGAGGAATTTTTTTATGGAAATTTGAAATAAAGTACAGAAATTCCTAATTAAAAACTATCTTTTAAGTGGATCTCTGAATTCTATAAAAGTGTTTATTTTATCTTAGTTATTTAGTCATTAGCCTGTCAATCACTAGGAAAGTAAGAGCAATTCACAAGGTTTTCTATTGCTATGCTAGTACTTGCTCACACATTCTCATCCACCTAAGGAACTATGCAAAGCATCTTAATAGATGCTACTAATTCACATAATTTAATTAATTGAATAGCAAATACCTTCTCATTTTATTTCACATTTTTAACATTCACAAGATATAGCTATTTCATAGTGATTAGGTTTACAAAAATAATACTGATAAAACTCAATTGTCAGCATGTACAGTTTTAGGCTGTATATTTTTTCCAAACAAGAAAAAAAAAATATTTTTAGACTCAACTTGAAATATTTTAAAAAACTATGTTTCAGAAATAGTAAACTATCACAGAACAAGAAGCATTATAGAAAGTAAAAATTGTTTTGATATAAAAATGCTATAAATAAAAGTGCTTATACACTAATTAGTGTTCATATACTCATACCAAATATTAGATGCCTTGAGTGACTAAATTAATCTTAAATATTACATTTATTATTTAAAATATTGCATGCAAACCTCACCGAATATATTTGCCAACTTATATATGGGAGAATTTAAAAAGATCGTGATGTTTTTTAAAATAGCTTTTAGAGAAATAACAAAGTGATTTTATGTCCGGAAGTGAAGACCCTTGGAGGAATTTTTCTCATGGACTGTCAAAATACATACCCAAACCATAAGTGGATGTCTGAGTAATAATTAATTTACTTTTATTTGATTTGTCAGGTTTCATTTTTCAAAACAAGAGTCAGAATGATGTCTTTTAGTTAGAGTTGTTTCTATTATTTATTAACATATCCAAGGAACATGTAGAGTGATTTGACAGAATATAATCATATTATCAAATAATTATCAGTTTAGTCTGTTTCATAAACTTAATGAAATGAAAATATATAAAAATATAATTATCTTAATTTTTATCAAAATTTCCAAACTTATGAAGTAAATCCAGCAACAAAGAGAGAGACTCTGTCTCAAAACCACAGCAACAATAAAAAGTAGATACAATATTAGAGCAGTGTTGTAATGAAAGCCTTAGAATGGGCTATAGCATTTAAAAAAAAATAATACAGACCTCCGGGATAATTTTTTCCAAAATAACA